CAATATCAATTAATAAGTTTTAAATCCTCGTGTTGCCTGGGCTTTCCTCAAACATTAGCCGCTACAGATGGCTAACGGTGTCGTCATCGCGGAGCGTCGTCGAGCTCTGCCCGTCGTAAGAATATTGGATTGTATTTAAAAGTCGCCTATACAGCTTATTGTCAATACTTTTTAATCTTAATTATAGGATATGAAGATAATTAATCAATTTAATGCATGATGAATTACAGCAAAGAATTCTGAATAATAAAAGAGTTTTTTGGCTACGACCGTGTCAGAAAGGTCGTATATCGGCAGTTTTCAGTTTTGCGCTCAATAAAACTGCTCTTTTGTGGGTATAAATCTGTATCAAAGCATTTAAAGCAAAAATAGAGAGATATAAAACGAATAAAATAAAAATAAAATGATAATAGAAAAGCACTAGGTTTCAAATCTGTAATATACTTTTTTATAAACAATTTTAAGGAATAATTATTTTTTAAAGGCTCCCGAGAACAGTACAGTATGGTCATGGGATGTTCGAGTCACACAACGAAGATACTTATTTTTCGAAATATTTGATTAAATAAGTTTCACCAACATAATAAAATAAAGTTAGATGGATTAAGTCATAAGTGAAGCGATAATTTATCCTGGAAAGAATGAATCTTCATTAGCCCTTAATAAGCGTGCTTTCATTAAATCAATAAATCATTTACCGATTCATTCACATGATTACATATTGCTGAACTCTCATTAAACCAAATTTGCTTCTTCATGCCAAATGTTCACGTGGTGATCCTGTATGTACAGTATAACACGCTTTAATTAACATATAACACTTAATCAATAGCACCGCCCTCTTACGCACTAAGGAGGTCATAAATAAGAATTAAGGAAAGGTTGAAGTGGGTAGTATGGGCATGTGAAGAGGAGATTTTATTCGAAGTTCATCTGAGAGCTCCGTGCGACAGTGCCAGCTCCTCGCCATTGATTTTCATTAAATAACAGCTCCGACAGCTGTTGTTCCGGGGGGTGTGACTTCCAGTGTAAACATAGGCATTCGATCCCCTTGTGTCTGTGTGCATAACTAACGAATTCGTCACTAAATTATTTAAATTTTGCGATATTGGATCTACCCTAGCGCAGGAGAAATTCAGCGTCTTGCTCTGTGCAGCACTGGAAGAAAACGGGCATTAATCGCACGCCGTACAGGGCTTTGTGTTTTCTTAAGGACCCCTTTTCGGTGTTCTATCAGTGACACCCCCGGTCCTGTGAAATATTACCTAGAAAAGGGGTAACCCTGGAGAGGAGAAGGTTTCTTAATAAATACCACGACGATAACAACATCGCCTAACGAGGCTACAAGCTGTAAGGCAACGGACGAGTGGCGCTTTTACAGTTCGCTTCCAGTCGGTAGGCCACAAGCTGAACGGAGGTTATTTTACTGCAGTGGCCCTGATAGGACGGCGCTATTTTACTTCCACCTCTTCTTCTTCTCTACTACATCAACATCGCCGGAGTTTTGGGAGAGGGGTTGCTACTAGACGCTTTGCTACCGCCGGAAGTCGAGTTAAGGTCAGCGCTCTCTTTAGATCCCCTCGCTTTAAGTGACTGAGCAAAAACACGAAGCGAAAGCGAGAGAGCGACAGAGAGCACAGAGGCAAGCAGAGGCGATGCAGTGGTTGTGAAACTTGCTCCCTCGCTCCAGAGAGACCGAGTAGATAGCTAAATAGATATATATTAATGGACTCACGCACCAGATGACATAGGATTTTATTTATGGAGATCTATTTCTTAGCTGCTGTTTTTACAACAGCACTGTCTATGGGTGAGTTGACTTTTTATACTCGTCTAGTTTCTATTTTCAAAAAGTGAAAGAGCATTTCTTTTATTCTATGGGGCATGCTTAAAGTAGTTCTCATATGGAAGATGGCAGCAGTATCATGGAAACTGTGATAAAACAGCCCAAAAAGTCACAGTGGTTCTTCCAAAGGACCTAGTCATTAGAGATGAATTCTGCTTCAGAGATTGACATTTTCTCCTGAATAACCACTCGATGTTCTGTACCCGAGGCTCATTGCTAATAAGCTAAAAGGGGAAAATGAAATGTCCTCTTTTATGGTGAGCTGTAACTGATTTCTCTTGTTATTCATCGGCGTATTGCCTTAACGGTATGATCTCGGTGTAATAAAGCATTAAGTAATAGCCCTTTGATCAATCATTTGGTGTTAGCGAATGCATTTCTCTAGTAATATCCAAGTTGGTATGTTCTGTGAAACCAGCTATATTCACTATCTGAGAAATGACTGGCGCCTGACTCGACTAGTATACTTGCTCAAGTCCTATTTAGATGTTAACTCTTCTTCGACTTGAATAAATCCAGATCGTGTTGGCCGCTTTACGAAGATTATCAGCAATCCAATTGATTAATTAAGTTATTACAGTTTTTACATATCTGTCATTTAGAAAATGCATAACAAGCTTAACAGATTACAATGGCCACTCACATGACCACTTGTACAGTGTAGCTGGGTGGAAGTAGTCGGTACTGTCCCGAGTTTTTCGTCTCAAGCACTTATTCACGTTTTCTGTCTTTATATTGAAATTTAAAAGAATAAAAAAAATCTCGAGTAAGATTGCTACAGAGGGTGATACTTAGAGGAGTAGCTTTGACGAACGATCAAGACGTAAACAGAGTGAATTGAGCAAGACAGATCTCGAGGCTGCTGGCCCGAGGTTCCAAGCCTGAGCGTAGAACGTCACTTATTCCACCATGCCCTTTCCCGTGTAATAAGGCGTTGAAATGCAAGCTTCTGTTTTCCCCCCGTATTGTTCACCTGTTTGCACACACTAGTAACCTTGTTATGAAAATGATCGCCCTGCTTTTCCTGTCGCCTTTTCACGCGTACAATGCCAAACCGTTAAGTTGTTTGATTAGTCTGACTAAGGAATTTGGTCTCAAACGCACTGCCTCTAACAGCGTTTTTAGGCATTTAGGGCCATTCTAAAAACAAGAGGCACTTGTGGATATAGGGATTATGAAAAGGGAGGGGACACAAAGATATTTTCCCCAGAGAACTGTAATGGAGTTGAAAATTACTTGATTTTGTTTCGTTTACCTCATAATACTTCTTTACTTTGGCAGGGGGGGGGGAGGGGGAACGGTGAACCTCAGAAATTAAAGGCACCCGCCGTGCCCTCTCTTAGGGCCATCATTGAGAGGGGATGATACAGGGTGATTCAGGGATATGTTGACACTGTCATAGACTTCCGCGTATTGGGGCGTATCGACGGCGCATTACGTGGCAGAAAACCGGACATGATGAACGGGGCCGGAACCTAAAAGAATGTTTGGAACATTTGCGTTTACTTTTAGCAATGTGTGGATACGTTCCGAGTTCTCAGTCAGAAAGACCACCCTCTGTCCATTATAATTTTCGCCTTGTGTGAAAAAACAAAAAAANGTCATCATGCACTCTTTGCGCAAAAAAAGCCAGTTATAATTTTCTGATCTAAAATGGATGAAAATGGTGTGTTAGGGCTATCAAAATAATACACGTTACGGCAATAAAAATCCTGCTCACTGTCACTTTAATGTTACACGCTGTTCGTGTTTCTTTAAAGTCCCAACATTCTATAGATAGATTTCCTCGAGGATAATAAGCGTTATAATCTACTGAATTCTTAGTGACAATATCATAGCACAAATCTAGAGGAAATATATCAATCTAAAAGTCAATTACGTTCTTAGCTATTAATGAATAAGTATAATATCAATTAATAAGTTTTAAATCCTCGTGTTGCCTGGGCTTTCCTCAAGCATTAGCCGCTACAGATGGCTAACGGTGTCGTCATCTCGGAGCGTCGTCGAGCTTTGACCGTCGTAAGGATATTGGATTGTATTTAAAAGTCGCCTATACAGCTTATTGTCAATACTTTTTAATCTTAATTATAGGATATGAAGATAATTAATCAATTTAATGCATGATGGATTACAGCAAAGAATTCTGAATAATAAAAGAGTTTTTTGGCTACGACCGTGTCAGAAAGGTCGTATATCGGCAGTTTTCAGTTTTGCGCTCAATAAAACTGCTCTTTTGTGGGTATAAATCTGTATCAAAGCATTTAAAGCAAAAATAGAGAGATATAAAACGAATGAAATAAAAATAAATTGATAATAGAAAAGCACTAGGTTTCAAAGCTGTAATCTACTTTTTTATAAACAATTTTAAAGAATTATTATTTTTAAAGGCTCCCGAGAACAGTATGGTCATGGGATGTTCGAGTCACACAACGAAGATACTTATTTTTCGAAATATTTGATTAAATAAGTTTCTACCAACATAATAAAATAAAGTTAGATGGATTAAGTCATAAGTGAAACGACAACTTTATCCTGGAAATAATGAATCTTCATTAGCCGTTAATAAGCGTGCTTTCATTAAATCAATAAATCATTTACCGGTTCATTCACATGATTACATATTGCTGAACTCTCATTAAACCAAATTTGCTTCTTCATGGCAAATGTTCACGTGGTGCTCCTGTACAGTATAACACGCTTTAATTAACATATAACACTTAATCAATAGCACCGCCCTCTTACGCACTAAGGAGTTCATAAATAAGAATTAAGGAAAGGTTGAAGTGGGTAGTATGAGCGCGTGAAGAGGATATTTTATTCGAAGTTCATCTGAGAGCTCCGTGCGACAGTGCCAGCTCCTCGCCATTGATTTTCATTAAATAACAGCTCCGACAGCTGTTGTTCCGGGGGGTGTGACTTCCAGTGTAAACACAGGCATTCGATCCCCTTGTGTCTGTGTGCATAACTAACGAATTCGTCACTAAATTATTTAAATTTTGCGATATTGGATCTACCCTAGCGCAGGAGAAATTCAGTGTCTTGCTCTGTGTAGCAGTGGAAGAAAACAGGCATTAATCGCACGCCGTACAGGGCTTTATGTGTTCTTAAGGACCCCTTTTCGGTGTTTTATCAGTGACACCCCCGGCCCTGTGAAATATTACCTAGAAAAGGGGTAACCCTGGAGAGGAGAAGGTTTCTTAATAAATACCACGACGATAACAACATCGCCTAACGAGGCTACAAGCTGTAAGGCAACGGACGAGTGGCGCTTTTACAGTTCGCTTCCAGACGGTAGGCCACAAGCTGAACGGAGGTTATTTTACTGCAGTGGCCCTGATAGGACGGCGCTATTTTACTTCCACCTCTTCTTCTTCTCTACTACATCAACATCGTTGGAGTTTTGGGAGAGGGGTTGCTACTAGACGCTTTGCTACCGCCGGAAGTCGCGTTAAGGTCAGCGCTCTCTTTAGATCCCCTCGCTTTAAGTGACTGAGCAAAAACACGAAGCGAAAGCGAGAGAGCGACAGAGAGCACAGAGGCAAGCAGAGGCGATGCAGTGGTTGTGAAACTTGCTCCCTCGCTCCAGAGAGACCGAGTAGATAGCTAAATAGATATATATTAATGGACTCACGCACCAGATGACATAGGATTTTATTTATGGAGATCTATTTCTTAGCTGCTGTTTTTACAACAGCACTGTCTATGGGTGAGTTGACTTTTTATACTCGTCTAGTTTCTATTTTCAAAAAGTGAAAGAGCATTTCTTTTATTCTATGGGGCATGCTTAAAGTAGTTCTCACATGGAAGATGACAGCAGTATCATGGAAACTGTGATAAAACAGCTCAAAAAGTCACAGTGGTTCTACCAAAGGACCTAGTCATTAGAGATGAATTCTGCTTCAGAGATTGACATTTTCTCCTTAATAACCACTCGATGTTCTGTACCCGAGGCTCATTGCTGATAAGCTAAAAGGGGAAAATGAAATGTCCTCTTTTATGGTGAGCTGTAACTGATTTCTCTTGTTATTCATCGGCGTATTGCCTTAACGGTATGATCTCGGTGTAATAAAGCATTAAGTAATAGCCCTTTGATCAATCATTTGGTGTTAGCGAATGCATTTCTCTAGTAATATCCAAGTTGGTATGTTCTGTGAAACCAGCTATATTCACTATCTGAGAAATGACTGGCGCCTGACTCGACTAGTATACTTGCTCAAGTCCTATTTAGATGTTAACTCTTCTTCGACTTGAATAAATCCAGATCGTGTTGGCCGGTTTACGAAGATTATCAGCAATCCAATTGATTAATTAAGTTATTACAGTTTTTACATATCTGTCATTTAGAAAATGCATAACAAGCTTAACAGATTACAATGGCCACTCACATGACCACTTGTAGCTGGGTGGAAGTAGTCGGTACTGTCCCGAGTTTTTCGTCTCAAGCACTTATTCACGTTTTCTGTCTTTATATTGAAATTTAAAAGAATAAAAAAATCTCGAGTAAGATTGCTACAGAGGGTGATACTTAGAGGAGTAGCGTTGACGAACGATCAAGACGTAAACAGAGTGAATTGAGCAAGACAGATCTCGAGGCTGCTGGCCCGAGGTTCCAAGCCTGAGCGTAGAACGTCACTTATTCCACCATGTCCTTTCCCGTGTAATAAGGCGTTGAAATGCAAGCTTCTGTTTTACCCCCGTATTGTTCACCTGTTTGCACACACTAGTAACCTTGTTATGAAAATGATCGCCCTGCTTTTCCTGTCGCCTTTTCACGCGTACAATGCCAAACCGTTAAGTTGTTTGATTAGTCAGACTAAGGAATTTGGTCTCAAACGCACTGCCTCTATAACAGCGTTTTTAGGCATTTAGGGCCATTCTAAAAACAAGAGGCACTGGCGGATATAGGGATATGAAAAGGGAGGGGACACAAAGATATTTTCTCCAGAGAACTGTAATGGAGTTGAAAATTACTTGATTTTGTTTCGTTTACTTCATAATACTTCTTTACTTTGGCAGGGGGGGGGGGGAGGGGGGAACGGTGAACCTCAGAAATTAAAGGCACCCGCCGTGCCCTCTCTTAGGGCCATCATTGAGAGGGGATGATACAGGGTGATTCAGGGATATGTTGACACTGTCATAGACTTCCACGTATTGGGGCATATCGACGGCGCATTACGTGGCAGAAAACCGGACATGATGAACGGGGCCGGAACCTAAAAGAATGTTCGGAACATTTGCGTTTACTTTTAGCAATGTGTGGATACGTTCCGAGTTCTCAGTCAGAAAGACCACCCTCTGTCCATTATAATTTTCGCCTTGTGTGAAAAAACAAAAAAAAAAAAAAAAGGTTTTGATGATGAGACAAATTTGGAAGTCGATGCATGGATTGATTTAAAAGAAGCTAATTTTTAAACTTTAACTTTAAAATTTGAAATTAGTATACACACATAAAGCTGCAGCGAAGATTGAAAGAGGACTCTACACTCATAACTGGTTTAATCATTCCCTTTTCAAAATCTTTTGCAAAATATATTGTTACAGTTCAGCAGCCAAATCATGTAGACGGCAGTTTTAGTTTAAGAATAAGCCAGCTGTTTATACTGTGCTGTTGATAGGGACTGCTGGAAGGAATATCAGCGGTCTTTGCTTTACCATTGATTAGACTTGACACTTTGAGAGACAGTCGCAGTATGGCATCCACTCACCACGGCTATATAAGCCACATACAATACGGTCCGTGTATGAGGGGCAATGTGATTGGCACTGTCAGGCAATAAGCAGTGACCTTTTTCCCATGTCACTTTGTCAAACTCTGATATTGGTTTTGGTTTTGATTAAATTAGTATAGTAGACTGCCTTCCGTGAGTAGAGCAGCTGCTAAAGAATTGGCTACCAAGAGTTTGTTGTGTCTTTACTTGCTGTATTGGTTATGTAATGTGTTGTGATGATTATGCTTACAGCTCTCTCTCTCTCTCTCTCTCTCTCTCTCTCTCTCTCTCTCTGTGTGTGTGTGTGGGTGTGTGAGTTTGTTTTAATTTATTTTCATTTTCTGAAGAAATGTTACTCACCCCCTTATTCATTGTACATGCACATGATGGATGGCAGTACATTGTGAAATACTGATAACAATATATATATCTATACATATATATATATGTTTTAGTTTATTTTCATTTTCTGAAGAAATGCTACCCACCCCCTCATACATGGACCCATGACCATGATGGATAGCAGTACATGGTGAAATACTGATAACAATGATAAAACACGTCTCGACTGTATTTCTAACGTAATTACAGCCCGCTAGAGAGTTCCACTGGTGAGAGAGTCTGCGTTTCCTCCGAGAAACGGATTCACACATATGTACATTACTGGATGTATGTCGTTGAACTTAGTAAATTGAAATATGTCAAATGTTTGGAGAATATATGTGTTTTCCCTCCCAGGCTCTTAGGGTTTCATGGTGCACTGATTCCAATACTATTTACTGGCAAATGTATTTATTTTATCCTTAATGTGTAAACGGCGAATGTTAGTGTTCGCAGGGTGCCATATGGGAAGTGCATTTGTCACGCCTCGTGAGATCTTCTAATTAATGACGGTTAGCATCTACTCCCTAACCACCACTTGGATTCCCCGGAATTGACGGGAACATCCAAGAATGTCTTATGTCTACCTCACATGCCCGTTACACACGTAGGCGTACCACCCTGAGTGCAAATTTTAATTGTGATCACTCTTACTCCACGACAGCATTTAGTTTAGGCTGTATTCTCCGTACAGTCAGCCATGTGACACACAGGGTGAGGGATTGAGCCATGTGAATCACATGGAAAGAAAAATAACTGCACTTGTTCAGAGATGAAGAAAAGCGAGACATTTCCCTCCGAGGGACGGGGCCAAATGCCATGGCAAATTTGAGGGAACACATCTTGACGATGTAAAGTGGTGGAGGAAAAAAAGATGTCTATCGTGACACTGCAGATGTTCTGTTGTATCACAGGTCTTCCTTTTTCTCGTACATCCGGACATGTGACACGGCAAGGAAGATTTAGAATAAAAGAAGAAAGTAAAATGAAGGCATTATTGGCAATCTCTACTGCATATTCGTATCACATTTCATAATTTTTAGTGTAAGGAAAGAAAGGGAGAGAGGGAGATCGAAAGATTTGAATGTAGAGAACACCATTAAAAATCAGGTACATGTAGCACAATGTTGTGTGTGTGTGTGTGTGTNAATATATGTGTTTTCCCTCCCAGGCACTTAGGGTTTCATGGTGCACTGATTCCAATACTATTTACTGGCAAATGTATTTATTTTGTCCTTAATGTGTAAACGGCGAATGTTAGTGTTCGCAGGGTGCTATATGGGAAGTGCAGTTGTCACGCCTCGTGAGATCTTCTAATTAATGACGGTTAGCATCTACTCCCTAACCACCACTTGGATTCCCCGGAATTGACGGGAACATCCAAGAATGACTTATGTCTACCTCACATGCCCGTTACACACGTAGGCGTACCACCCTGAGTGCAAATTTTAATTGTGATCACTCTTACTCTACGGCAGCATTTAGTTTAGGCTGTTTTCTCCGTACAGCCAGCCATGTGACACACAGGGTGAGGGATTGAGCCATGTGAATCACATGGAAAGAAAAATGACTGCACTTGTTCAGGGATGAAGAAAAGCGAGACATTTCCCTCCGAGGGACGGGGCCAAATGCCATGGCAAATTTGAGGGAACACATCTTGACGATGTTAAGTGGTGGAGGAAAAAAAGATGTCTATCGTGACACTGCAGATGTTCTGTTGTATCACGGGTCTTCCTTTTTCTCATACATCCGGACATGTGACACGACAAGGAAGATTTAGAATAAAAGAAGAAAGTAAAATGAAGGCATTATTGGCAATAGTGCTTTTGTAATCTCTACTGCATATTAGTATCACATTTCATAATTTTCAGTGTAAGGAAAGAAAGGGAGAGAGGGAGATCGAAAGATTTGAATGTAGAGAACACCATTAAAAATCAGGTAGCACAATTTTGTGTGTGTGTGTGTGTGTGTGTGTGTGTGTGTGAGAGAGAGAGAGAGAGAGAGAGAGAGGTGGGGGTAGAGAGGCATATGAATTTGACGAAAGTATAATTTGAAGAAGTCTAATATAAAAGCATGCATGAACTTATGCTGGAACCCTTGTCGAGATCCTTTCTTTCGAATATCCATAAAAATTCCTTGTCGGGATTTATGTTCTTTATTGTACGCAAACAGTGAAAACTGATACCACTGTTTTAAATTGACCAGTTAAATTGAAGGCATTTCAGATGCACATTTGGAAAGTCGGGTTTATGACAAGCTTTGTTCTCACTTTCAGTTTTAAAAGTTCACATTTGCGTTGAACCGTGAACCCGTTGTTTTGATGGAGCCAATGTTGACAGAGCATACTCTCATAGGCCTACCCTTATTTCATTGTCAAGTCAGTTCCACGGCACTTACAAAAATGGAACTCTCTAGAGGGTTGTTTTCCGGCTCATTATTTCCCATATACCACAATGAAATTTTGCTTTTCAGTGAAGGATATATGTATAGACTTCGTTTTTATCTCATATCATATCTGTTATCTGTGCTACATGTACTATAGATATGTGTGTGTGTGTGTGGGGGGGGGTCTTTTTCACATTATGGAAAGTTACTGACCACCAGTATGTTTGGATAT